TCAAAGTACTCTTCTTACTATTTTCGTAAGTTCCAATCCAAAATATCTTTTTCCTATTTTAGTAAAAATAATCATACATTAACGCCAAAATATTCTTAATTTTTACATAAATTACAAGCATATCATTACACATACAATTATTTTTTACATAAAATCAAATGACACAAATTTCAAAATTTTTTACACACCCTTACTAACTAATAAAATATTATTATTCTTTAATCTACTATAAAACTCCAAATGACCCATTTGGATCGGAACAGAGGGAATATAATGTTTGCGTCGGAAACCATATAAAGTTTTAAAAGTTAGTGTGTTTTTAATATAGAATAATTTTTTTATGGCGTAGTTACAATCATTATTTATTTATTTTATTGGTGCATTCTAAGTAAATTTACCTTTTGTGCTATACATTTGTCATTTTTAATCTCAGTAAAAATTATCAATTAAAATTAATTCTATTACAAAAAAAAAAAAATAATTCTTTGTTAAAACTTCAACTGAGATAGCTGACATGAACATAACGAAGGTTGAAGGTGTATTGAAGCCATAAGTGTAAATATGGAGAACTGGTACAATCCAAACTCTCGGAGAGCCACACATTGCTAGGTTTTTCTTTCCTATGCCTATAAATACTCGGTGTAATTCTTTATATAAAACCTGAAAATACCAGTGAAAATGTCTCTTTTGACCTAGATCAATTTGATGAAGCTAGATCACCAAATTATTGTATTTCTTGTGTGTATTTTATTATGATTTATGAAATTTCGTTACAAATGGGCAGCTAATTATTTAACGGGGATAGCAAATAATTTTGTCATCTTACCACTACAAAAAAAATAGTATATTTGTAACGGAATTTCGTTTCTAATATTCACGTAGCTAACGTAATTTCATCCCTAATTCCGTCTCTAATATCATTAGTAACGGAAAAAAAGTGGATTTAAGAACGAAAAAATCTTGTCACAAAATTGATATTTTTTTGTAGTGTACAGTGATAGCTCACGAGGGAGAGCATCAAACTAAAAGTTTAAAGGTTTTATTATCTACAAAATGCTATCCGTGTTATATATATTTTATTAAGATATAATATTTAAATATATATTTCAAATTTTTTTAACTATATATATTAATTTTATTTTAAAATTACTAACAATATTACTTATATAGAAATATAATAAAATAATATCATACATCGCTATTATTAATTAACTAAATCATCTTACCTTAAATAACGTGTCTCAAATGAAATTAGTCATTTAAAATAGGAGGGAAGAAGTATTAATTTGTTTGATATTTTTACATATTATTGAAAATGATGGATATGGTATCTAATAGTATGAAAAATGAGAATTCTTCTAAATATATAGTTAAAGCATGCTATGTTTGGTTATAGGGTTAATTTTGTTTTGTACTATTCCTTATAGTTTTTTTTAATAATATTATATTCAATATTTATTTATGTTGCATAAATATTTATTTCTATTTTAAACGTTTTTACTATATGTTTAAATTAATCAAGAACTCCCAAATATTTAAAAAAAATTATCTAAACACACTTTAATTTTTGGGTTGTTTGCGAAATTGGTAAAAATTTAATAGTTTAAATGTGATATTTAAATAAATAAAAAAATTATGTTGTTGAAAATTTTGGTCGTTCGAGACCTAATCTTACATGTTCCACGATAATATTGAAAGAGTCGGATGACTCCTTACAGGGCCGTCCCTGGGCCCGGGCGAAAGGGGCGATTGCCCAGGGCCCAATCTAAATTGAGACTCATTATTTATTTATGTTATGTATAAGTTATTTATATATAAAACTTATTTGACATTAATGTATTAGTACAAAAGTATGGCTTAGTGATTATGTTTGATTTATATTATTTTTGAAGTTTTGGGTTCAAACCCAAGTACCTTCAAAATATAAAAATATTTTTTTATTCATTAAAAAGAATTAGACAAAGTTAATATTAATAGTATTATTGATATTTTGCATATAAAAATATTAGAAAATTTATTTTATTTAATTATTTATATTTTATTATAGATAAAAAAATATATTATTTATACATATTTATGGGCTCATAATTTTTGTTTTAAGATTGTTAATATTAATACTATTATTGATATTTTATCTAAAAATTCTAAAAAAATTATTTTATCTAATAATTTATATTCTATTATAGGTAAAAAAAATCGGAGTAGATCATTTATATATATTTAGGGGTTTTTAATATTTGTTTTAATTATTTTATTGCACTAAAAAGATAATAAATATTAGACAAAATTATTGTTATTATTATTAGACAAAATTATCAATAAGTCCTTTATAATTTTGAAACATAGTGTAATTACTTTAAAAATAGCATGAACCCTTATACTTTAAAAAAATGTTCAATGAGACGATGACTTTTCATCTATATTTTTTGTATAGCAGGGGTTTCATATAGCGTTTGTTAAAATATAAGGGAGCCTTACGCAATTTTTAAAATTTATGCTAGAAAAAATATTATTTTTAATTTATATTTTATTATAGATAAAAAAATATTATATATATATATTTAAGGGCCCCTAACTTTTATTTCACCCCGAGCCCTTCGAAAGTCAAGAACGGCCCTGCTCCTTAGCCCGACCTATTGAACTCGGCCCAATCCCTTTAGCCCTTATCCAAAACAAACCTAAAGCCCATACCATTTTACTCTAACTCCAATCTTAGCCCATTTACGTGTCTAACTCAATTTGCATATTTGTTTACGGGACAAGTCATCCTCACGATTACGAGTTCATTCTCACACTACCATACCATTCCTTATGGAACAAAATAAATGTATTTTTTGTTTTGAATGTAGTATCCATGATTATTTTTATAATTTCATCAACAAAGTATGTATAAAAAATAATTTTATATTTAATCCGTAGCCCTAAAAAGGTTCTTTGATATCGGAATATTGTCGCGTGTGCGATGTGGCATCTTTGGAGCTAATGTGAACTAGCCATGGAGCTAACATTAATATTCAGTTCCAACAGGTCAATGACTGAATTCATGAGCATGGAGTAGTGCCAACAAATGCTTATTGATAGAAGATGACTCTTAGATGATAGAATGACGGTCTCACCTAAAAATTTAAGTTGTTAGGGATACGCGTTATTAATTATTTTTCTAACATACGAAAATCCCCAACAATGACAATTACAGAACAGTTGAATAGGATCCATGCTCGGTTGGACCACTATGAACCCAATGATACATATTCAGTTTGTTTGCCCTAATCCACAGCATGTGGTTCTTTCACTACAAAAAAATAGTGTATTTGTAACGGAATTTCGTTTCTAAAGTTCATGTAGCTAACGTAATTCCATCTCTAATTCCGTCTCTAATATCATTAGTAATGGAAAAAATAAATTTAGGAACGAAAAAACTTCGTTACAAAATTGATAATTTCTTGTAGTGTTTATCATACAATCAAAATAGCACAATAAAAATCGTTGAACCTATGTAGCATTCATTTGACCAAGTATCAAGAACAAAATCCAAAGAACCAACAAGCAAAAGAATACACAAAATTAGCTGCCAAATTAAGTTTTTTTTGCCATAATTCACAATATTGAATTCTTCATGATAGAATTTTCCAAGCTAAATAATCATCCAAAAATGAAAAGAGAAACATCAAAATCACACACTGCAGGAGCTACATTATTATGATCTTTTATATAAGACGGTGGTGGAGTGGGCAGCGGTCGACGGATCATGGGGAAGGAGAAGAAGTAAATCCTTCGCACTTCTCCCGCTAATAAGTTGTTTTGTAGGTATTTGTAAGGGAAAACAATCCTTCGCAAATGAATAGTTTTCTTGTGGTGATATTATATTTTTAACCACTTGCAACTGTTTGTGTGTTTGAAATATTTAGACCATCTGTTACAATAATTTTCTTCGTTACTTTTATCATTTTTTTTAAAGTTTTTAATATAACAAAATTTATTAGTTTTACAAAAATACAGTTATATAAATTTATTATATTTTTCGACTCAATCCCAGTTACCTTCAACAAGAAAAAAAAAAAAAGTTAAAGATTATCCACACATTCACAAGTTTACTCCCCACATCCACAGTACTAGCCATCCTTAAGAGACTTCTTTGATATTATTTTTAATTAATGTATATGTAGATTTATTTCGAATTATTCATTTATTAAAATTTATATTGGTTAATATTTAAAAGTTAAAATATAATATTATATAAAATTATTATTAGACAATAAAAATATATAGAAATATGTATAAATAAATAAATTATTTATATATTGTTTATATATATTATTACATAATAAAAATATATAAAAATAAATAAATTATTATGGGTTTATAGAATAGCAAAGATAATGAATTGAATGTGAAATGATTTGAATATTAAGATAAATATGATAGAGATGAGACATATAAAAAAGACAATGAAGTAGAGTAATGACTATAACAGATGTTCTTATATAGCTTTAATACTTAGAGTTAAGGTTCAATCACCATATACCACAAAATGTTGTTTTCTAGCGAAAATAAATAAATAAATCAACACTTCATTTGTTTTGTCTTAACCTATTTTTCATTTCAAAAGTAACTCAGAAAAGAAAATAAAAATAAAAATATTTTTTACTTGAAATAAAAATAAAAATCTAAAACACCACCCTAACAAACGCAAAATAAATTTGTTAATTAGATGAGAATCTTCTACCTCGATCAATTCCTTTTCGCCCATGCCTAATAACCAAATATGCTTTTGCAGCTAGTGGCATTAAAGCATGCTTTTGCAGCTAGTGGCATTAAAGTATGTTATAATAATTGCTTCATATCGTAATTGTCATTACAAAAAAGAAAAATTCAGTTTGGATCTGTATATACAAAGAAGACTGAACCAAACCAGGAACTGTTTCTTCAATATTTGTGCAAAAATATATCCATATTAGCTGCGGATTTCAGTTTCTTCAGCAGTTTGTAAGAATCGAGAGATGGCTGTAGCTGCTTATGCATCATTGGTTTCTCTTTCTCATGTCCTCGACAACGTTCATTACCGTGCTGAGCTTCGTCGCCTTCATGTCGACATAAAAAAGATTAAATCTCTCCAAGAAGGTGTCAATTTCTTGTTGGAGTTCCTTGAAAAGAACCATAGAAGCAAAAGCCAGAAGGCTGAAGATCTTTGGAAGCAAATATCAGAAGTTAGTTTGGAGATGGAAGAAATTTTTGACTTACATGTTGTGAGCCAACTTCAGAAGGAATCTCAGGGAGAAAGTAGTGATCATATGGGCGCGAGATCATTCGATGAAGATTTGGACACTATGATCCAAAAGGTTGACTACATCAAGCGAGAGCTATCGATGGTTGAAGAGGTCGTGGTTGGACAACAAACCAGAGCTTCTGTTCCTGCTGGCGGTTCTTCAACAGCTGCATCCATTGTTGGAAAGAATATTATTGTGGGACTTGAGGAACACGTGATCAAGATTAAGGGTGAGCTAGCTAGATATGACGACAATCTCCAAATCATCCCAATTGTCGGCATGGGAGGTATTGGCAAAACTACTCTTGCTAAAAAAGTTTATGAAGATAAGTATTCCATGGAACGCTTTGATGTGCGCATTTGGATTACAATTTCTCAGGAGTATAGCGTCGACGAGATCCTCCTTGGTCTTATCAATGACGGAAAAGTAGAAAGACATGGTGGAAATTCAGATGGGCCTGGGGAAATATTGCGCAAGAAACTCTATGGCAGAAGATACTTAATTGTAATGGATGACATATGGACTCTTCAAGCTTGGTATGATTTAAGGAGGTTCTTTCCGGACAATGGGAATGGAAGTCGAATTATTGTGACCACTAGGCTATCACAAGTGGCTGCTTCATTGGGCTCTCACGACCCATATCCGATGACATTTCTTGACACAAATACAAGTTGGAGTTTATTTTGCCAAACTGTATTCGGAGAAGAAAAATTTTCACATCCAGAATTGGAGCAAATCGGAAGAGTGATTGTCAAGAATTGTAGAGGGCTTCCTTTGCAAATTACTGTTATAGGAGGACTACTTGCAAAGTCTGGCATGAATAAAGAATATTGGGAATCAGTTGCGGAAAATGTAAGTTCCTTTGGAAATGCAAGCGATGGCGAGCATTGTTTGAATATATTACTCTTGAGTTATAATAATCTGCCTATATATCTCAAGCCGTGTTTTCTCTACATGAGAACTTTTCGCGAAGATGCTCAAATTGAAGTCTCCAATCTAATCCGATCATGGGTTGATGAAGGTTTCATAAAGATAAAAAATGATAAACGTTTGGAAGAACTTGGTGAGGAATACTTAAAAGATCTTCTCGATAGAAATCTACTTTTTGTGCGTGAAAGATATGTACTCACGGGGGAATTAGAAAAATGCGGCATCCATGATCTTTTGCGAGACCTATGCATTAGTGTATCCAAAAAAGAGGACTTTTTGTGCTCTCCTAGAGTAAAAGACATCGATATAAGATATTGGAATAGAGTGTGCTTCCTATGCGGCAGCTCAGCAGTAGAAGAAGAAAGAAGAAATCTTCTTGCACTTGATGTTATTCCTCCATCAGCTTCACAAGAAAATCCCCCGGTTTGTGGTGACTGTAAAGTGACATATTCACGTACGAAGGGACTAAGATTGGTCATGGCCATCGAAAAAGTTGGTAGTGCTCATGATACACTTGTGCAGCACACTAAATTACGGTCTATCCGTGTTAAATTTGATTTCTCTCCAAATTTTATTGCTCCTCCAATTCTACATTTTCTTTGGAACCTGCAGAGTCTGATATTCCCATATTCATCTTCGGTAGTTTTACCATCTGAAATATGGCATATGCCGCAACTTAGAATTATTGACTTCTATGCCGTTGTGTTGCCGAAGCCTTATCTTGCTCATGTGGGAGAGAAAGATATCTTCATTCTGAAGAACCTGCACACCCTTCGCTGTGCAACGAATTTTGAGCTCACCGATGAGATTCTTGGTGGAATTCCTAATCTGAAGGAACTAGGAATAACGTATGATAAGCGTATGAGAGAGTTGGATACTTGTTTGTGTAATCTTGGCAGATTACAGAAACTTGAAACACTAATTGTCCAAAATACATTGCAGAACATCGGCTTTCCAAATTCACTCAAATTCTTGCTTCTGAGGAAATGCAGAATTCCTTGGAGTGGTATGTCAGTGGTTGGTTCATTGCCTAATCTCGAAGTTCTTGTGTTGTGGTATACTGCAGAGGGCTCTGAGTGGAATCCAACTGAAGGGGAATTTCTTCGATTAAAAACATTGTGGATTTTTGGTAGTGATTTAGTAGCTTGGAGAGCTGATCGATACCACTATCCGGTGCTTGAGATTCTTGCACTTTTTAAAGTACCTTCGTTGGAAGAAATCCCTTCAGGTGTTGGAGATATACCGACACTGCGTGAAATTCATTTGAAAAATTGCAATGAGTCTGCTGTGGATTCGGCATACCAGATATTAGAGGAACAACAGAGTGTGGGAAATGATATACTCGACGTGGATGTCTCTGATGATTCTGATGATTCCGATGATTAGGATGTAGATGATGACACAGATGAAGATGAGGTGTCTGAAGACAAAGATGAAGATGAAGACAACGAATCTGAAGCTGAAGACACAAAGAAAGATGAAGATGAAGATGATGAATCTGAAGCTGAAGACAGAGAGGAAGATGAAGGTAATGAGTCTGCCTGACTGATTGCCCTAAGGACAGAAGAAGAAGAAGATGATGATGGTATGTATATATATATATCCAAGGTACTTTTAATTTGAGGAGTTGTCATAATTGTTTTGTGGCTTCTAACTTGCTAAATCGATTTCTGCTGGCTTGAATTTGGTAAAAAGAATTCAAGTGTTGAAGGAATATTTCCAGAAATTATTAGGTAATATGTAGTCGAAAGCTTTAAAGGTCTTGGCAATGAGGAGAAATATTGCTTGGTACCATTTGCAAGTGGTACTTCATTTTTCTCTAAACCAAAGACATTATTGTTATATATGTGTGGATGATTTACTTCTACCCAAAAGTGCGCACTAGATAAACCTCCGGCCGAACCTAATACCCTACAAACTAGGTCCAATAGACAAGTCACACTAGGCAAACTATATGGGGCAGGTGACCTGGAGGCGTCGGAGATTTGAACCCATGACCTCACGAACATAAGTCCAACTCCATAGTGTCTTCGTTTCTTTGTAATTACCATTTGCATCTATCATCCGTTTTTGTTTTTGTTTTTTTTTTTAGCTTTATGATTTAATTAAGTAGCTTAGAAATATTTAGTTATTTTTTACCTTCAGTTGTTCAGTATAATTTAAATTACAGTCGATTTCATACATATATATATAGTGAAAAACCAAACTAGATGACTAAATTAATTCTTGTTTTGTGCATTGTTTTGTTGTGTTCTTCGCAATACTTACATAACAATACATGCATAGAGTTGATACAATTTAATTAGGTTCTATATATATATATAAAAGGATTCGGTAAGTAGAAGAGATGAGATTAACATCTTTCATACAAGAACAAATTAAAAACAATAGCCGCTGTAAAACTGTAAAAAAGTATAATTGACAATTCAGCAGAAATATAATATGTATATACATTTAAAAACCATGTCGATGCAATGGTTTTCTGTAAAGATTCTCACGTTGATATGTAATTTATAATTATTTAACAATATGCAAATTTACAAGGTTTTTGGATTTTTTAAAAAATAATAAAAATCCAACTCCGTCCTCGTGTCCGAGTCCCACCATCTCCATTCGTCGTCGTCCACGTGCAAGTTTCGTGTGGTGACGTATATCTTCTTGCATGTGAGGAGACGTGTTAGTTGTAGATAATAAAAACAAAAAAAAAAGGAAAAATGCCATTAAGCTGACCACCTCAGCTCTAGTCATATCAATCTCATTTTGAAAGAAAATTTCTTCCACAAATCTCATTTTGAGTCTATGACAAGTCGAAACTTGACTAGAAAACACAAAGGCTTTTGCTCGAACACTTGTGTCACTTTTTTATGGTGTGTGAATGCATATTATATATATATATATACACACACATATATCAATGAGTAAATTTCATCATGTTATAGATATTGAAATAAAATCCCATCAACATAGCTCATTTATCTCTTGTTATGACAAATCGAATCTTCACTTGAAAAGATAAAGGCTTGCATTTGAGTACCTAGAATCTTTGTAGGCTATTAATATGTTTCATCAATTTTGTGCATATTGAGAGAAAATTCCACTCAAAAAGCTCATTTTGAGTCCTAATTATGACAACTTAGAACTTTACTAAAAACGAGAAGGCTTGTGCGGGAACGGTTAGGGTGCTGAATTGGAAAAATCAGCACTGAAATCATCACCAGTAATATATACAAACAAAATACAGTCTTATTATACACAGTACATGCTGTGTATATAATAATTACATGTGATGTTGCTTCATAATTATAATATATTGTATAATAGTATGTGGTGTGCTGAAATAGCATATTCTGTCCATTCATGTGTTATATTTGTGTCGTTGGTTCATAATTACAAGTGTGTTTTATAACAGTATGTTGTGCGTTGAAATCAAGTATTGGTTGTAATGTATAAGACTATAGCATGTGTTGTTAGTTACTATTGTTAATTCATGTGTTGTATCATATATCATATATATATATATATTTGAACTCATTGTGGCCTCCACCACAATGTAAAGCAAAAATTTCTAGGGGTTTAGAATTTTTTTAAAAAAAAATTGATTGGGTAAAAAATTTGATTGGTTAGGAATTTTGAACAATTTTGAATTATTTTTATTAAATTTCTATTAATTGTTGAATTTGATTAGTTATTATATAAATGTAGGCCAATATATTTTTTTATGTCATATAATATAATATATGTATATGTTTTATATTTTTATTTTAATATATATAGAAGGATTTATAATAAAAGTATAATATTAATTTCTAATAAATTTTTATACATATATATATTAATAAGGTGCCATTTAAATATAAAAATTATTTTTTAATAATTATTTATTTTTAGTGATTATTTGATAGAATCATTTTTTATTAATAAACTTAAATATTTTTAAAATTAAATTTATTATTTATTTTGAAATTTTTTAATTTTTAACAATTTTGTTTTTTTTTTTTAATTAATTCATCATTCATATATTTTAAGATATACTATTATTAATATTTCTCATTATATGGTACTCCCCTCCGTCCACACACAAAATAAATATTTATTTTTGGTCGTGGTGATGTAAAGTAAGAGTATTTGTGGAAAAAAAGAGGTATTTAATAAAATATTTACTTTATAATTGGACGTTCCAAAATAAAAATATGTATAGTTTCTAGCTAGACGAAAGAGAGTATTATTGTTTCTCATTGTAATTTTCTTTTGTCTATTTATCATATATAATATATATATATATATCTATATATTTGAACTCGATGTAAAGTCCATCGTAATGTAAAGCTTGAATTTCTAGTATTTGTTTTTCTTTTTGCTAATTTTCATTGCTCTGAACATTTGATTGGTTAGTAAAGGAATACGAGTCATTTTGCTAATTTTTATTACAATTGTACTCCAAACTTTTCCATTGCGTTAGCTATCAGACCTTTTGTTTTTCATTTCTTTCTCTTTCAATGTGCATCAGCAGTGATCATTCATCTCCCCAATGTAACGTTTATTCTCCCAATATACATTTCTTCAAACTACAACATTCATCTTCTATTTAACAGAATTGTTAGTCCATTAAAAAAAAATTTGCCTTCAAACTACAATTTTCCTCTTCAATTTGTTAGTTAACACATTCTTCTCCTACCAACTCATTTTTCTTCCACTAATTTATTACTAATAATTTATTTGTTCTTTTGCAACAGTTATAATAGTATACAAAATCGCCCGCAACAAAGAAATAGAAGAAGGAATGGAAGGAGAAGAAGGAAATTCAAGACGGATGACGACGATGGCGCCGGAAGTAGAAAAAATAATTAACAAACATATTGTTTGTAAGACTTTCACAATATTTTTTTTACGGGTTTTGAAAATTAAAATCTTAAAAGTCCTGCACCTATTCTCTACTTATCAGGCGCAAACAAACTTTTGTTTTGCACAGCTTTACTGTTTGCGAGTACTTGAAATTGATTTTGGAAGAAGCTGCAAAGTGAAAAAATAAAAAATTAAAGAATAAAGAATAAAGAGAAGAGTAAAGTAAAAATAAAAACCTACCGATACTCTAAAGGCTAGCAGCAGCGGACGTCATCTGTGGGAGAAATGCGGCGGTGGCGCAACTTACAAGAAGAAGGTGAAAAAATGAGATGAGTGAGAAGAAGGAATCGAAGAGTAAAGGAATAAATGGAGAAGAAAAACGAAGAAACAAGAAGAAGAAACGGTGAAGAAAGGAGAATCCGAGGGAGATTGTGGAATGGGTTTGGGGTAGACTTTGTTTATTTATTGATGTATTTAGAATTAATAGTCCTATTACATTATTATACTAATTATATTATTAATTTTTTTGTTTGTACTTATTTTTATTAATTGTATTATTAAATTTATTTTTTTGTAGTAATATTATTTATATATTTTTTAATTTTTTAGACATATATATGTGTGAATGAAATAATAATCTATGAGGATAAATTAAGAATAAAAAAAATAAAATAATATACTGATATGGGAAAACATTTTAAAAAATTAACTTTGAAATTCAATAAAATTCTTTTAAATACTAATTTATCAAACATTTAAAATAATTGTTTGACAATAAACTAAATATTATTGAATAAACTAATTATTGAACACCTTAAATAATTTATTTGTTTTTTTTGATTAAATCTTAATTTTGAAATTTGAATAAAATTGAAATTGTCAATAAAATTTATATTGTAATATTATATTTAATTTATTTTTTTTATTAAAACTGAAATAAACATTTGTTTAATTATACATTATATTTATGAATAAAATAAATTGTTGCACTTTTTATTTATTTGTATTTATATTCAATAATGATAATTTTATATTTTAAAATATAGGAAAAAATGAAATATAGGATGAAGTTGAATAAAAAGGAAATATCATCACTATTTCTTCATAAATTGTGTCAGCATCAATGGTAGAATAAGAGAAAAATGATAATAGAATAAAAGGAAAATGAAAAATGACTAAAGAAAATAAAACAAAAGAAAAAAGAGGACAGAACGAGGGTCCGGTGTTGATTTAGAATTATTTTAATTTTTGTATAAATATTTTTGGAAAATTATAAAAAAATATACTCCCCCCGTCTAGCTACAAAGTATACATATTTCTATTTTGGGACGTCCAATTACAAAGTAACCATTTCATTAAATACCCCACTTTTTTCCACAAATACCCTTACTTTACATCACATCATTACTTTTAAACCAAAAAGCAAGGGCAAAAATGTCATTACACTGCTTTTACCTACCCATTATAATTAAAATACTATTATTTCTTAAACTCCATGCCAAAAGTAAATGTATACTTTATCCGTGGACGGAGAGAGTATTATGTAAAAATATATTTAAAAAATAAACAGTTATATAAATTGTATTTTGTTTTTCATATAAATATTTACCAGTAACAGTTGTACGCTATTTTAAATAATAATAAAATTATATATTTTAATATTTATATTTAATTTTGATATAATTTTTAAATGCAACTTTGGA